TATATTATTACTGGTGGGAGTTTTGCCACTCATCAAGCTTTCAAACCACCTGAGCACACATTTGATGAGAATTTATATGTAATTTAACCACACTGGAGCCATCTTGCACTTTATATTATGTTATACTGAAATGATTTTATTGTATAATGTTTTGATTTTTAAATCGCTGTATTTACACATATTGTAAACCGCCCTGAGCCCTGCTGGCGGGGGAGGGCAGGATTAAAAATAGAATACATATTTTGAACAAATTGTATAAACACAGGACACGACATTATTTATTGCACAAAAAGGGCATTAAAATGGAGCACAGTGTAAAAGTGACAAAAATCAAACAAAATCCAAGTCATTTGGCAAAGAAAATAGTTGGGACAAAAGTAATCTTCTCAACCATGCACTAAATGGAAAACTTACATATATTTGTACGTATCTACTGAAATAGTGGGGTTTTAACATACCATTGACAAAAGAGGCCGGTCAGTAACATGCAGAACTAAATTCCTTTATTTTTAAAAAAAGAAGAAGCATAAAACTTATTCAGGTTTGAGGAAATCTGCCACACAGTGCAAATCCATTTGCACATTTGTGTTGGTTAACATTTTGACCACAATTTGCATCAGCATCGCAGTTACTATGCTGAGTCCATCTCTCCTAGAGAACAAAAGCAGAGGCTAGACAATCTGACCACAGCTATGCAGCAAGCTAAACAGTATCAGAATATTCTTGTTGTCAAGTATCACAGTGCAATCCCATACAGACTTTCTCCAGCCTAGGCTGAAAGCCGCACCAAAATAGACACGCGGCAGCGGGATCATACAGATCCCGTGAGCTGCCACGCAGTTGCTCCCCAGCACGATCAGATGCTAGGGAGACCGGGGAGAAAGCGACAAGACAGAGACGGAGGCTGCCGAACTGTGCATGTGTGAGCATGCGTAGTTCGGCCAGGGCTCTTGGATGCAGAAGGACACGCCGGCGATCCCACGGCCGCACTTGATGCGGCCGCGCTGGTAAATTCACCTCTGTAGGTGGTTTATTTTAGATGTGGCTTTTCGGCCTGAAGGGCCGGATCGGGGACAGGTGTGCAACGTTTCTCAGATGTTGCGGTGGGATCGCGCCTGATTGCTGTGCCCCCGATCCGGCCCAAAACCTTTCGTGTGACCAGGGCCTTAGAATGGCATACCTCTATATAAGACTGCATAGTAAAGTTTCACCCTTGTACCGAATCTAGACTCACACTTGGAAAAGCAGCTTGCTTGCCACAGCAGAAAGGGAGGTTTTTGCAAACCAGCAGAGAAGAAATCCTTCCCCCACTCCTTATGCACGTGTGTGTTAAGCGCAGTCAAGTTGCTTCTGATTTATGATGACCCTATGGATTAATGTCCTCCCAAAATATCCTATTGTTAGCAGCCTTTCTCAGGTCTTGCAAACTGAGGGCCCTCGTGGCTTCCTTGATGGAGTCAATCCAACCCATGTTGGGTCTTCCTCTGTTTCCTGCTGCCTTCAACTTTCCCTAGCATTATTGTCTTTTCCAGTGAGTTGTGTCTTCTCATAATGCGACCAAGCCTCATTTTAGCTTCCAGGGAGAGTTCAAGCTGATTTGGTCTAGAACCCACCGATTTGTCTTTTTGGCGATCCACGGTACCCATGAAACTCTTCTCCAGCACCGCATTTCAAAGGAATCCACTTTCTTCCTGCCAGCTTTCTTCATTGTCCAACTTTTACACCCATACATAGTAACAGGAAATACTATGGCAAGAATTAACTTGGCCTTGTACTTGCAGCATAATGCGGAATGAGCACAACTGTGGGGCATTTTTTGTGAGCCCCTCAATTTTGCGGACTGACTTACAAGCCTGACCAAAATATATCCTGAAAGTATAGCCATAGACCAACAGAGGGAAATGAAGTGGCCTGCATGTGTTTTGTGCTCAGATAGTTAAAATATAAGGCAATCCTAAACACATTTCCCGAGAAGTAAATTCCACTAGGGTCAAGAGCACTAATTTATTTATTTATTTATTTATTAGTTTGATTTATATCCCGCCCTCCCAAAGGCTCAGGGTGGCTCACATGCGGCAAAGCCGAGTGCAAAATACAATACAGTATATAATAAATAAAACATTTAAAATCACAATAAAACCTTCCAATAATACGGTGCTATACCTATATTAATCATCCAAGATGGTGACAACCCCCCCCCCCCAGGTTTAAGACCCAGCTGTCTCAGAAGTCTATTAATATTGTTTATGAGTATGTTTATTAGTTTTTATTGTAAAAATATTTGGTCTAAATTATCTTGTAATTATATGTAACGTGTTTTATAGTAGCTGTCTGTACGTTTGGCTTAAGAACTCTTCTTGCAGGCCCTGCGGAACTGCATAAGGTCCCGCAGGGCCCGGATCTCCTCTGGGAGCTCATTCCACCAGGTAGGAGCCGCCACCGAAAATGCCCTGGCCCTAGTAGAGGCAAACCTAATCTCTCGGGGACCTGGCACTCCCAGGAGATGGAGCTTCCCCGATCGTAGTGCTCTTGAGGGAACATATGGGAAGAGACGGTCCTTCAGGTAAGCTGGACCCTGGCCATTCAGGGCTTTAAAGGTGAGAACCAGCACTTTGAAGTGAATCCGGTATGCTATCGGCAGGCAGCCACCTTTAACAGTGCCTCTCTGCAGAAAAGGAAGAGGGCCTATATTCAGTCTCCCCCCCCCAAGCAATTAGCACTTTCAAAGCTGACTACTCAACTATCTATTCTATTACATGAGTTGGGAGCTATGCACAGTGGAACCGAATCCTGAAAAGGCAGCTTGGCACGCATGCCAACTTTTTCTTTTTATTGCGTACACACAGGACGTAATCCTGCAAGCTGATTTGCACAAGGAAGCCTACTTACACAGAGACACAAGCAAATTGCCCTTGCTGATTAAAGCCATGGCATTTTGAGATAGGAATCAATTAAGAGGCTAAAAGCCTTATGTTACGTTAAACACTGTTTATAAAAAGTTCCTCCTCTAGGAAAAGAGGATCAGTGTGCTTCTCTTTCTTCCTAGCCCCTCCAGCAGAGCTTTCGATCATCTACTGACAGAAGCAAGAAATTTGATTTGCTGGTCTTAACAGTGCCACTGGACTCAAAACTTTGCTCTGTTGCTTCACACCAACGCGGCTACCCACCTGAATCTATGAAGTGCCCGTGTGCATACTGTCTGTACTATCATCTTTGGAAAAACATACAAGTACTGGACAATTAGTTCCTGTCAGAACTGATATATCTGAATAATACATACAATCCAAAAGCGTTATGTTCCTCCAAGTCAGAGTTCTTCTCCCTACTGTTTTTTTTTTTAAAACTATATTACAAAAAAAAAAATTTTCTCACAACCAGGACAAAACATGCTAGGTAGGAGGAAAGGATATTGCCTTCCAAAATCATACAGGGAGAAACTGCACAAAGACCAAGGCCCTTGATTTATGTCACCTCCTAAATTATACACAGCAAGGTAGCCAAGCTGCTCCCCCCACCACTGGTGTTCCCTCTAAGCTGAGTTAGTGTGAGCTAGCTCACAATTTTTTAGCCTCCAGCTCACAGATTTTTGTCTTAGCTCAGGAAGGGATGGCTCCAGAGTAGACTAATTCATGCAGCAGCCAAATCGCTCGCTCACCACTTGAATGCCAGCAGCTCACCAAGTAGAATTTTTGCTCACAAGACTCCACGGCTTAGAGGGAGCATCCAACCCACACTGCCCAACCCCCCCCCCCAACTGTGCCAGTATGCCTTTTGCCAGAAGGTGAAGTTGCCACTCGCGTGAATCACAGAGGAGTTGAGAAGATAAAACTGGACATCAAATCAGAATCCCAAACATAAGAACTCAAAGACGTCCGGGGGGGGGGGAATAATCTGAACATTTCTCAAAAACATGACACAGACCACTGGCCAAACCCCATGCCTCCCATCCACACTTGATCTTATCCAGGCTGCGTTTTCCTTCAGAACCACATTTATAGCCCCTGGTTCCCACCCAAAGAAGATACACAACAATCAACATACATCGTATCACTGCAAAATTTCAACTTGATATTGGCCAGTTGGGGGTGGTGAATTTAAGGGGAATTCCTTAAGGTGTGTGTGTGGGGGGGGGAGAATACTCTTGGTACTTTTAAAAAATGGTCGCCGTGCACTTGGAATAGAACCAGAGATAAATAAATTTTGTACACTCCTACAGAGGGAAGGGAGAAGCTATGACAACTTCCAGGAACGAAAGGCCCTCCCCCAAGGAGTAATCCAACTTTATCAGAAGCAACCGGGGTTTAAAAAATAATAATAATGCCTGAATTCATCGTCTCCCACCCCTTAATCTGACAGTAACTCAAGAGAATTGTTCTCTTTCGCTCACTGGCTCCCCTTCATAGCCCCACAGAGACCATTCTCGGCCGGTGCCTACTCAGCAGAACGCAGTCCCAACACCAGCCAGCTACCATTTTAGAAGGTGAACACGGAACCCCAGCGGGGGGGAACCCGAAGAGCAAAAATTCTACCAGACACGTTAAAAAAACCAGCATGAACAGACTCCCCACCCACCCCCCAACTAGCCCCTCCAGAACAAATGCAGCTCAGAGAACCGAAGAGCACTCAGAGTCCGACACCCAGGTTTTAAACCAGCAGATCAGACTGCCACAGTGGCGGTTTGGGGCTAAAATGCACAACGCTCTTGGGATTCCGTTTAAACCTTTGCCTATTTGGGGGCAAGAGTTTTGTGGAGGGGGAGACCCAAAAGCAGCCTTTGGTTTTTAGCCGTTCGAGGAGATGCTTGCGATTCGTTTTTTGTAACAAACCGATCCTGGGAAAGGAAGAGCAAAACTTTCGGGATGCAAAGGAAGAGCCGGAGCCGAGGCAGAAGCGAACACCACAGGCAGGAGAAAAGGTGGGCGAACAGGAAGGAGGAAACGACAATGTCTGTTTTTAAAAAAAAAGATATACTGATGTATTTTTTAAAAAGCCTCACTTACCTTGACTGGGCAGCCATCGTGCGACGCTTAGCAAGCCAGGTGCCTCCTGTCCATCAGTCCGCCTCGCCCCTCCTGCCCCCCAAAAACTTCTCTTCCATTTGCTTTCAGGCGTCCTGGGGTCCCTCGCGCCTCTCTCGCGGCCTGCTCGGAAATATCACTTTTGATTTAAAAAAGGGAAAAGGGCAGCCTCGTCTTCCCCGCAGGCTCCCCGAGCCCGAGCTCCTTCCCTTTCCCCAGCTGAGTCCCACACACTAATTTTGATAGACATCCGGGCACCAGAGGGCCTCCTCCAGTCCGGCTGGCTGCACTGCAAACCTGCAGAGAGGCGCGGCTGCTCTGGGCTCCTGCAGCTCCACAGGTAAGCCGAGTCCAGCGCACATTTCTCTCCTGACAGCAAGTCTGTCTGTCTGTCTGTCTGTCCCTCTCTCTCTCCCCCTCCCCCACTTCCAAGAAACACCCCACGCTGCAGCCAGAAAACGCGCGTCGACCGTGCAATTCAGACGACACGAGGATTTATAAAGATTTTAAGGATTTTTTTTTTTTGCATTGGGGGGAGTCCTCTCCCTGCACCGTGCACTTTTTAAAAACACAATTGCATTTTTTTTCCTCCCCCCCCCCATAAAGTTTGCATGGTACAACCCGTCTCCTTAAATGGACATGTTGTTCTGTCAAGGGCGAGAAAAGTGGAGGATTGGCTAAGAAAAAAGGGACAAGCCGGAGCGACGAGCCTATCACAGCGGCAACGCACAGGAGTGTTCCCAGACTAGACGCCCCGCCTCGCCGTATGGGGGGAGGGGGAGCGGAGGAGAAACCCTGCCGGTGCCAAAAGCCTTAACAATGTACAAACACGCACCAGCCGGTACACGGAGTTCTCAGCCGCCTGGCACTTGGCATGCAATTATGTCTGTTCCACTGGAGCGCCTGGATGGGGGCTGCACAAGATAAAGAGGCGGCGGCGGCGGCAGCAGCATGGAAAGATACCGCAAACTTTGCCACAGAATGAAGCCTCGGCCAGCTGTTCTTTCAGATTTATTGCAGGCGGCGGAGGGGAGGGCGGGAATGCCGCGTTTGCACCCAGCGGAGGAGGTCTTTTTTTGGTTGCGCCCCCATCCTAATCAGTTTGCAACTTGGGTTCAGGGTGTCCCGGGGAGACAGCTGTCCCTGGTCGTCTCCGGTGCAAGGGAGGTGCATTGCTTCCGATGCCAGTCTCCAGGTGGGACCTGGGGATCCCCAGGAATTACAACTTATCGTCAGACTAAGGAGATCCGTTCCCCTGGAGAAAATAGATACTTTGAAGGGTGGACTCTATGGCATTGTACCCCAGCGAGGACCCTGTCCCCCCCCCAGGCTCTACCCCCAAATCGCCAGGAGTTTCCTAACCTGTATCTGGCAACCTTACCCCCACCCATCCCCCCTCCACTGGGCAGTGGGGACCTGGCGACCCTTACAAGAGAAAGCGTTGTGGGTAAACTTGGGTAAGACCTCCTCCATCTGGAATGCTTCCCCATATCATCTTACAAGACCCCGTGATTCCTTAGGGCAGTGTAGATACCACTGAGGGCATATATTATGTGCACAGAGGCAAGGGGCGGGGCGGGGTTGCAACCAATGTTCCCTCTAAGCTGTGGAGTCTTGTGAACAAAAATTCTACTTTGTGAGCTACTGGCATTAAAGTTGTGAGCAAGGGATCTGGCTACTGCATAAATTAGTTGGCTCTGGGGCCATCCTTCCTGAGCTAAAACAAAAATGTGTGAGCCAGAGGCTAAAAAACTGTGAGCTAGCTCACACTAACTCAGCTTAGAGGGAACACTGGTTGCAACCAGTGACCGTGACACATGCATCCATGTGATCTGCTAAAAGTCTGCAGAATCCTGTAGAAGCAAATGTGCAGGGGCTATTCCACAGTCAATCAGGACCACTGGGGGGGGGGAGTCTCAGTCGTAAAATATAGCTACATTGCATTTGAGTAACCGTCTCCTCCCATACATTTAAGTCCCTGTCATCTTCTGCCCAAGCCCTGGCGCCTCTGTGCCCCTATTAGCAGGGTTGAGATGGGGCTGCAAACAAAGAGAGGGTTTTATTCAACCTTTGCAGCCCGCCTTCAGCATGCCCTCCCCCTAGGGCTTGCCTGGTGCCTGTCTTTTTTTATTAGAAAAGGTGTATACCACCCCTCCAGAGACCTGATGGAGGCCGCTAAGGAAATGGGTCTTTGAGCCTGGATCTTTCCAGTTTGAGGCTGATACTCTAATGATCAGAGTATAAGCCTCTAGAATGGGGGATATACAGACTATATTTCCCTGGTTCCTACAATACAACCAGAGTATCTTGGTTTTGAGGTTCTCTTAACTTGGCCGTGGAAAACACAATTTTATTTATCTATGTTAAGAACAGTAGAAAAGCCAATGTTGGATCAGACCAACAGCCCCTCCAGTCCACGCTCTGTCACACAGTGGACAAAAATACCAGGTGCCATCAGGAGGTCCAGCAGTGGGGCCAGGACTCCAGAAGCCCTCCCACTGTTGACCCCCCCCCCAAGCACCAAGAATACAGAGCATCACTTGCCCCAGACTGAGAGTTCCTATCTATACCTTGTGGCTAATAGCCACCGATAGACCTCTGCTCCATATGCTTATCTAAATCCCTCTTTATTTATAGGCCACCTTTCCTGGTAGAACTCAAGGACAGAATAAGTCAATACACTCAGCAGGGTTTTCTATGCAGGCAACAGAGTAGCGCTGTACAAAAAGGCTTCACTAAATTACTTGGATAAATTATTGGGGACTGTGGACTGTACTACTATGTATCTATCGTTTGCTGTGAGTTGGATCCCATTGTGTAATTCTGCATCATTTTTTTGTATCATGTTAAAACTTCTGCTTTGCCTCAGTTCTGTTTTTTAGACTTCTGGTTGGTCCTGTAACCGAAATCCTATTTCGTTGTTGATCGACTCTCCCAACTTGTCGATTGTCCTGACTCATTCTGTAAGTCCCAGTGAGAAAGGTGGGCTTTAAATAACGCTAATGGAATGAATAAATATCCAATAGAGAATGCAATAAGATTTGGCTTGTTAAAGAAACATATTTGGAACCAACCAGAGATCAACCAAGGACCTGCTCTTTAAAGTTGATTTGACGCTTAAGGACATAAGAGAAGCCATGTTGTATCAGGCTGATGGCCCGTCCAGTCCAACGCTCTGTGTCACACAGTGGCCAAAACCCAGGTGCCGTCAGGAGGTACACCAGCCAGACCAGAACTCCAGAAGCCCTCCCACTGTTGCCCCCCAAGCACCAAGAATACACAGCATCACTGCCCCAGACAGAGTGTTCCATCTATATACCTTGTGGCTAATAGCCACTGATGGACCTCTGCTTTAGATGTATAAGAACATAAAGAATTTCTGTTTAGTGTTTTAAGAGACAAAGAAAAAAAATCTGTAAGCGGAGTGTCAAGTGTAAAACACCCTTGATTTAAAAAAACACAGCAGACTTCAAACATATTATCAGTGCCATCCCAATCATAGTCCCAATAGACTTAGAAGGGTGTAACTCTGTTTAGGATAGCACTGTCGGTAAACAGAAGAATAATTTGTAGCATTTTTCACCTGTTCCCCCCCTACACGCTTTTGTTTTTGCAAATTGGTAAGCTTTCTTGTTTGTTGGCCACTATTGGGAACAAAATTACCCTGATCTAGTATAGCAATTGTGGGGGCTTTTTGTGTTTTGACGTGTGTGTGTGTGTGCGCGCGCGCATACACATGCATGCCTGGAAGTCATGGTGAGCTCAGGCAACTCCTACTGGGGCATGGAGGACATTCAGAGAAGTGGCTTGATGGCCTGCCTCTGGCCTCCCAGCCCTGGTATTCTCTGGAGGTCTCCCACTGAAATACTTGCAGGGGTCAGCCCTGCACAGCTTCCAAGATCTGACGAAATTGGGTTGGCTAAGCTATCCAGGTCAGGGCCTAGTTTAGCAATTCTTATTGATAAGTATGAACATTTTACTCTTTGTTTTTTTGTGCTGTAGACTTATGGCGACCCCATAGGTTTTTCAAGGCAACAGACATTCAGCGGTGGTTTCCCACTGCCTGCCTCCACGTCACAACCCTGCTATTCTTTGGAGGTCTCCTATCCAAATAAATAGCCAGGGCCGACCCTGCTTAGCTTCCAAGATCTGATGAGATTGGGCTAGCTCGCCTGGGCCATCTAAGTCAGGGGTTTTATGCACTCCTGTAGCGCATTTAAATTTAAGCTACTTTTTTTTGTCTTTGCCTTGTTCACAAAGAGTGTAAGTTGAGGCATTGATTAGGACCAATCTATACATTACCTCTGCAACATAGAAATCACTCACAGCCCTCCTCAGCATTAGAACTAATGAAATGCAGGAGCGTTAACAGATATAAGGAGGGTGAATATTCGAAGTTTTAAAACAGACCAGGATTTCTGGACAGCACTGGAGGCCGTACACCTTTTGCCTTGTGCACACTTGAGTAGAAAAGGTGCCAAAAGTGTATGGGTGAATTTAAATTATCTGGACACACCCTGATGTTCTTTCCAAAGGGGTGTCCAGGCAGCTTGAAACATCACTCCCCCCTCCTCCATTTTATCCTCACAACAACCCTGTGAGGTAGGTTAGGCTGAGAGAGAGGAACTGGCCCAAAGTCACCCAGTCAGCTTCCATGACAGAGTGGGGAATTCGAATCTGGATCTCCCAGATCCTCTTTAAAAGCAAGTGCTTCTTCACATGTATTTTAGAAAGTAAGGAGTGTGACTCGGCTCCCAGAATGCTGTTGATGAGTCTATGCATTTTATCATGTTACAGAATTATGTGTGGCAGCCCCATAGCCAGGAATTATTTCATGAGTTCACTAAATAAATTTAAAATAAATTTAATTAAATTAACCAAACAAGGGAGGGAGTGTGTGGGGGGAGAGGAGGAGTAGCTCCGTACCCTGCTGGCTTTGGGCCAGCACAGCACAACTTAAGCTCTTCCTCCCCTCCACTGCGCCTGCATTACTAGCATCATGTGACCCGTCATGTGGCCCAGGTCACATGATGATGCAAGCAGCGACATCCTCCCACGCCCCCCCCAACACAGGGGAGGGGAGGGAGAGGTTAAGTAGCGCCATGCTGCCCAACTCGTGGGTGTAGAGTTTGGTGTAGAGTTTGGTGTAGTGGTTAAGTGTGCGGACTCTAATCTGGGAGAACCGGGTTTGATTCCCCACTCCTCCACTTGCACCTGCTGATGTGACCTTGGGTCAGTCACAAGCTCTGGCACAGCTGTCCTTGAAAAAGAGCAGTTTGTGTCAGAGTTCTCTCAGCCCCACCCACCTCACAGGGTGTCTGTTGTGGGGAGGGGAAGGGAAAGGAGCTTGTAAGCCGCTCTGAGACTCCTTTGGG